TCCCCAATCCACCACATGAGTTGGATCCAGGGTGTATTTTTGGAGCATAGTGACATGGAATACTACGTGAACACCCGATAGATTTGGCGGTAATGTCAACTGGTAAGCAACTCTTCCCACCCTCTCAAGTATCTCAAAGGGCTCGATATATCTCAGCAACAACTTTTCCCACTTGACGAACTTGACCACTCCTCTTTTAGGTATCACCTTCAAGAAGACATGATCTCCCACCTCAGACTCTAAAGGTCGCCGCCGTTTGTCGACATAGCTCTTCTGCCGACTCTAAGCCGTGATAAGACGCTTCCGAATTAAGTCTACCTTCTCTGAGGTGTCTCTGATCAAATCCAGACCCGTAGAAGATCTCTCTCCTACCTCCGTCCAACAAATCAGAGAATGACAAGGACTCCCATATAATGACTCATAGGGTGTCATCTATATGCTCGCCTGGTAACTGTTGTTGTAGGCGAACTCTACCAAGGGTAAATGATTTTCTCAGCTACCCTTGAGATCTAGGGCGCATGCCCGTAGTATGTCCTCTAACGTCTGAATAGTCTTCTCAGACTGACCGTCCGTTTGTGGATGAAAAGTAGTGTTCATCATCAACTGTGTCCCCATAGCTCGCCGAAAACTCTCCCAAAAATGAATCATAAACCTGGGATCCCAATCCGATACTACAGATATGGGCACCCCATACAACCGGACAATCTACCATATATACAACCTGCAGAATTCCTCCAGTGTGAATGTCATCCGCACAGCCAAAAAATGTGCCGACTTCGTAAGTCGGTTCACTATCACCCACACTGCGTCATGTCCCCGCAATGTCTGTGGCAAGTGAGTCACAAAATCCATTGTGATATGCTCTCACTTTCACTCAGCTACCTCCAAAGGTTGGAGTAATCTCGCTGGTCTCTAGTGTTCAACCTTGACCTACTGACATGTGAGACATCATCTGGCGAAGTCCCCAACGTCTCTCTTCATCCTGCTCCAATAATACTGGCAATGAAGATCATGGTACATCTTCGTGCCACCTAAATGTACAGCAAATCGGGAACAATGAAATTACCTAAGAATCTTTTCTCTGAGCTCCGTAGATTAGGGAACCACAACCCTTCCCCTAAATCGAAGACCGTCATCTGAGTGAATGGCCCAGCCCTCGTCACCTCTACCTAACCATGCTCGGTCCCTGATGGATGATAACTCTGTATCCTATCCCTGAGACTCAATCACTCTGCTCAATAGGGAAGGTGTAGCCACCAAACTCTCCAAAGTACCCTGAGTCTGATCTCTATAGTGTAGCCCGAATTGTCCTACAGTCTCGAGCATTTGCCACTCTCGAGAAGCCATAATAGCCAAGACTCCCCATGACTTCCGGCTGAGTGCATCAGCCACCACATTTGCCTTACCAGGATGGTAATGCAAAGTGAAGTCATAGTCTTCTAGATACTTCATCCACCTGTGTTGCCTCATATTGAGGTCCCACTGTGTAAAGATATATTTAAGATTTTTGTGGTCTAAAAATACCTCGAACTGTTTATCGTATAGATAGTGGCACCCAGATTTCAAGGCAAAGACAATGGCCGCCAACTCCATGTCGTGCATGGGATAATTCTGCTCGTGATTCTTTAAATACCAAGAACCATAAGCCACCACCCTCCCGGATTGCATCAATACACAATCGAGACCGTCCTTTGAGGCATCATAATACACTATGTACTTCTGTCCCCTTTTCGAAACTATCAAGATAGGAGTTGATGTAAGCCTCCTATTTAACCCCTAGAATGCCTTTTCGCAAGAATCATTCCACTCAAACTTCACCTCTTTCCGGGTCAATCCCATCATAGGTGCAGCTAATCGGGAGAAGTCCTTGATGAACCTCCTGTAGTATCCTGCCAATCCCAAGAAATTACGTATCTCGAAGACTAATTTCGGTCTCTCCCAATTCATGACTGCCTCTACCTTTTTAGGATCCACGGATACACCCAAAGCTGACACCACATGTCCCAAAAATTTTACCTCCGTAAGCCAAAATTCATATTTACTGAACTTGACGCACAACTGATGGTCTCTCAAGATCTGGAGAACAATCTTCAAGTGACCCTCATGCTCCTCCTCAGACTTGGAGTAGATCAAGATGTCGTCAACAAATATCACGACGAACTGATTTAGGTAAGGTTGGAACACCCTATGCATGAGATCCATGAATGCCACTAGAGCATTTGTCAATCCGAATGGCATTGCTGTGAACTTGAAATGCCCATACCCCGTCCTAAACGTTGTCTTAGAGATATACATTTCCCTAACCCTCAACGGATGATAACCGGTGCAGAGATCTATCTTGGAGTAGACCCGTGCTCCTCTTAGCTGATCAAACAAGTCATCAATTCTCGGCAAAGGGTATCTATTCTTGATAGTAACACTATTCAACTACCGATAGTTTATGCACAGTCGAAGGTCCTTCTTCTTAGCAAACAACATCAGAACGCCCCAAGGTGAAGTGCTCGGTCTAATGAAGCCTTTGTCCAATAATTCTTGCAACTGGACCTTGAGTTCTTGCAACTCAGCTAGCGCCATCCTATGTGGAGTCATAGAAATAGGCAATCTACTGGGATTCAACTCAATGGTGAAGTCTACATCCCTATGTGGAGATAATTCTGGTAGTTCGTCCGAAAAAACATCCTCAAACTCACATACAACCCAAGGTAGACCTAACTCCTATCTCACCTCGTCCTCCAGGGTAAGGCTAGCTAGCCAACCCATCAACTGTCTGTGCTATCAGGAATCATACACGGCTTAGGGTAAAGCATCACTCTTTTCCCCCTAGAACATAAAACAAACACCATTAGGCGTATAAGCAATGACCTCTTCCAATTACAATCAATGATGACTCGATGTACTGCCAACCAATCTATCCCAAGGATGACATCAAACTCTGACATATCCATGACCCTAAGGTCCACGGTGAGTAGAATCCCTGAGATCTCTAACTCACAATCCTGACATATTTGATCAAAAGCCACAACTTGATTTTTCTTCATCGTTGAGGCCTCGAATGTGAGTCCTCTCCCAGTACGAATCCCGCACCTGAAATGTTTTCCATATAGGGTGAGCCAATGCCCAGTAGAATATTTCCTACAAAGGCTACTCCCCAATCTAAGTGCATATGCAATGATCATATACAACATTCACAATTATATAGTCATTCCAAGCAAGAATATACATACTTCATGTTGGAATCTACCATGCCATGCCATGAACGAATGAGATTCACTCATGCACATCAACCCAAGCCCTTGCCGGCTCTCTCCACACTATGCAATGCAAGTGTAAAAACCCTTGTCATTGATAAAATACATCCAATGATCATCTTTGAAACAAAACTCATATGTTCATAAAAACCATTTCATTTCTGGATGTTTCCCATCAAATGAATCATTTGTACAACCAAAACCATGTGTCTTTATTTGGGTAGTGGACTTTTGGTGTTACACCGCTGGCTCCATGCATCGATACACTTTTTTGGACTTGCACTGTCGAAAGTGTATAAACCAATAGCGGGGCCTTGCACCCGAGGGGGGATCTATTCCCTCTTGCTATATCCGACACAAGTTTTCTATGTATGCAACTGTGCAACTCAGTAGGATATTCAACCCCACTTTGTCGAGCTCACCCATCAAACACCAAGTATAGTGATTGATCCAACCATGCACTCACACACCCATACTCACGGCCATGGATGCATTTTTCATATGCAAATGCAATGTAGTGCATCATTGCTCAATCAATGTCATGCTCAATGTGATGAATGCCATTGAGCCAAATTTAAACCACACATCTCAACATGTGTCATGACAATTTATATCACATGTATAAAATTACCAAAATCCATTATCATGTCAATACATCAACTAGCATATATCAACATTTATATACCCAACACATATCTCAAGCATGACATTACGCAAACTCATGCCAACCACACTCAATCACAAGGTATAATGTTAAACATATAGCATGTCCATACAATCACTTTTCCATCGAATTACCAACCAAGTAATTTCCACATTACAATTTCAAGTTAGGAAATCTATTATAACCCATTTATATAATCATTTTTCATACCCATTTCACCCATTTCATATGCACAAGTGAGTGACATACATATTCCCTTTTACCCATATATTTCATATAACACTATATGTAGGAAATGAACCAAAGTAGGAAAATCCCTACCTCTTGGAGCGTAAAAGAAAGGGAGAAGCCTCAAGAACACCTACCAAACTCCAAATCTTTGAATTTCTTAAAATGTCTTCCATGAAACATTGGTGAAATCCCTCGTTTTTGGTACATACGCGTAGCCCTCGTCGCGTAGACCAACTTTAATTCTTGGTCTGAAGGGTTCCGACTGACAGAACTTCAGAAATCGAAGAAGAAAGCTTGAATTTATATTCTCTCTCTTCTAACGTCTGAACACAGCCAGCCAAGGGTGAGAAAATATCTGATTTTTTAGATATTTCACCCTATTTATACTTTTAATTGGGTGGTCCACATTGCCTCGTACGTTTTTCACTTCCGGGTCTGTTTTTAACTTGAAATGACTTAATTAAATTTTGATTTCAGTTCAAATTAATTTTATTTGAAATTTTATTCAATTGTAGGGAAATTTTATAATTTTCATTTTTGGGGACCTTTGAAAATTCATTCGTCACCCAATTGTCTCGAAAAATATACAAAATTCGACTATCTCAGAATTTGACAAAAATTAACGTGGTAACTCAATTTCACGATACGAATCCAACAGTGAAGTCCATTGCTCCATCCAAGCTCTTTAGAAATATGCATTTTAAACCCGCATAATAGTGATAATTTACTATTTTACCCTTTGTCGAAAAAAGTTCAAAATTTTCCAGGTTTTACATATTGTTGGGATAGTTTTGGCCATTTCTATGTTCAATTGAAAAAATTCTCTAAATAAGACCATATACAGTTCTGAAGAACTAATGTATAATGAGTTTTGGTTATGTATTTCAGTCCAAGATGAAAAAGGGAACTTGAAGTTCATCTGTGCCTTCAAGGACATGCCTACCCACTGCCAAGGCTTCTCATACAGGTCCTTCTTATCATATTTCTTACGATGTTTCATTTCTTGTCTTTCCTTGTACATGGTAGAGCAAAGATGAGAAATTTAGAGAAAATGACAATTGTGGCACATTGCAGATTTTCTTTCTTCATTTATTTTTCTTGCAATTTTTTTCCCAACTTATAACTGGGTTTAGCCTAGTCCTTTTATTTTTCTATTTGCGCCCTGGATTTGAAAGAAACTTGCAGGTCCTTAGCCATGGTGCTAATTTTTATTTTCTTCTTTCTCCTCCCCCCTTCTTTTTTCCCTCCCCCCTCTGTTTCTATATCCCAAAATTTCCCTTATATCAACTAATATTGATTCCTAGGCAGTGTTGTAGGTGGGGGAAAAGATGGGGTGGGCAAGTGCAGTGAACTGGGGACTAGCCCAGCCAATGTAGGAGTTGCTTCTCTACCTGAAATGGGGTGCACACGTAGTGTGGGATCTAACACTTTGCCCGAATCTGAGAACAAATGCAATGTGACATCTGATTCTTTGCCTGAAACCAAGAGAGCAGAGAATGTGGCATCTTCTTCTATGCTTGAAACCGGAAGTTCATGTGATGAGGCATCTGTTTCCCATCCAAAAACTGATAGTGCATCAAATGTGTCATCTTTTTCTTTGCCTGACAGCAAGAGCATGCATAGACTAAATGCAACTCCTTCCAATGAGAGTCAAAAGATTTTATCAACTACTCCATGTCTGCTTCAGTGCAGTAGTATTGTTCTAGAAATGAGCAATGTGGAAGTTGAGCCAGCTGGAGCAGATCACAGCAAAGGTTACCGTTATTAGTGTAGAGATTTGCTTTTAACCAATCACCAGAGCAACAAACCCTTTGTGTTGTATGTCTTAAATGTATAGTTATTTTTGATACAATACCTTTTTTTTCATGTAATGAGAAATACGTGTAAGATTTTCTTACTTTACTATTTGAATTTACTTTATTATTTTTGTTTAATTTTTTTCCTATTATGGAAAACCAACTTACCCAAAAAATATATATAAATGGAAAGCCAATCTAAATCTAAAATTATGTGCAAAAAGTGGTAAATTCACTTGATTTGTAAGGATGATGCCTTCGAAAAAACATATTGTAGTGCATTAAACTTACTATGATATATATGTGATAAAACTAAAAAGAATAGAATCACAAATGAAAATATTCATAAAGAAAAAAATTAAAAGAAAATCTACTTAGATGGGTTCTATATATTGTAGAAGGTAAACTACTACACCGGCGAAAAAAAAGTGATGTGTTCATGATAATCGAAAAAGTAGAAGAGGAAGACTAAAGATATATAAATAAAATAGTAAAAAAAATATGATAATTATTGTTTGACAAAGAGTATGGTTGTCATAGAATAGAGTAGTATAGAATTCATGTAACTTAACTCAAAAAATTTTAAAATAAATCTTTTTTTTTTGCTCAAGAAAATGGTGGTTAGGGGCGACTTGGTAGGTGTAACAACCCTCATAGGATGTTACCTTGAGATTCTCACAAATGTTGGTTTTGAACCATAATTACTAACCTAAAATGGTTTAGCCCATCACCACAGCACCGTTGAAGGTAAGTTACACATTCAGCCCCTCCAACAATATTTGGTTTAGTGAGACTACTATCATAAGTAGGTTCAAACCTACGATTACTAGAGTAGTGCAGGACTTTTACCTTTTATTGAAGTCAATTAGGCTATCACCTCGATTATAAAATAAATATTTCTTGAGTTGAAGCCCATATATAGTATTGTAGTTGCCTATTAATGGATTTCAATTTTTTTTTAGGATCACTTATCATATATTTAAATAAGATTTATTATATATAATTGAATCCCTGGCTCACTAATAATGATTAATGGGTGAAAAAGAAAATTGAGGAGAAAATATATTAAAAGGAATGTTTACCATGAGCTTCATATATGGGTTTTATGAGAAGGAGCCCAAGAAAGAAATTCAAAGATGTGCAACTCGTTTGTGTATGTGTTTCTATGTGAGAGAGAAACAGAAACACAGACTTTAAAGTTTAAAGGGTGGGTTTATTCCCACCCCAAAAATCTTCATTTTCACTCCATTTAATTTCTCATTATCAAACTACTAAGTCTATCCTTTTAGGAACTAAGTCCATTTCATGCTGCATATACCCCCATTTATAGTTAAACTCACTCATTCTATATACACTCCTTTAATGAAAGAAGTCATTGTAAGAAAAAATAAATAAAAGAATGAAACAAGGAAACAAGGAAACAAGGAAAAAAACAGAAATAAAATAAGCAAACTGAAACAAGAAGAAAAAACAAAAAAAACTAAACAAAGATTAAAGTAACAAACAAAACTATAAGACATAAAACCGAATATGAAAAAAATAAAAAACATTAAGCACAGACACAAAATCGAATAAGAAAACAAAATAATAAGCATAGATGCAAAACCTTAACAAGAAAAAAAAATACATAATCTAAAAGCATACATATATATACACACATATAAATTCTAAATAAAAAATTATTAAACTTGACAAGGATATCAAAATATATCGAAAATAATGAAAATTCATATAACAAATATGAAATATGAAATCAAACATAGAATTAAATTGACAAGTAATACTAACGTGTATATCACTCAAAAAATTCATATTAAAAAAATATTTTTGTGAGTTTATGAGATGAGATAGATAATGAAACCCTAATTATGACAAAATATAAAGTGAGTTTATACTTATTAAAAGGGGTGTATGTAGCATGTGGTGAATTTAATTACTAATAGAGTTGGTATAAAAAAGATTAGTTGAATAATTTGATAATAAAAAATTTAATAGGGTGAGAACGAAGATTTGTGGTCGTGGGAATAGCCCCCACCCGACTTTAAAATGGGAGTGTGGATTATGATCCCTAAGAAGAAGTGGTGGGTGGGTATACAATGGGAAGTAGAGCTTTTCTGCTTCTGAGAAGAATAACTATAAGAGCAGACCATGGCATCTTCTTCAGCTTCCAGAGGAGTAGCTTCGGAAAAGATGTTGGAATGGAGCAAACTCTGTTGTTCTTTTAATATATGTTACTTTATGACATATATTTTTACTTTTATTTTTACTGTTCTTTCCTTGAAAAGCCAATTTCAGTGGAAAATAATGCCTGTGTTGTACTTAGTTTTGCAGACAAAATTACTTATGGTTGGCTTGCTAGATTGTGTTGTTTTTGCCTTTTTGTCCGTTACCATTCATTCTAGTTCTCATGATTCATGACACAATAAGGGGTTGTTTCAATTACCTTGTTCACAACAATTTACAAATTCTGACATTTTACTTTATGTTATGCGGTTTCATCCTCTCGTAACCATTTGAGCATGTGTGAGGTCCGACGACTTAGTCACCTGTCTCTCGCTCAATAGCTTATATCAACACTGTTTTAAAATTTGGCAAGACCTGATGAGTTGACCTAGTAAATCGGCAAACTGGAGCTTAAATTGTTTTAGTTCTTATATTAGACCAGTTGAGCAAAAAAACTCGGAAGAAACCCATTAAACAGTGCAACTCATGAGAAAACTGTTTAACCCACCGACCGGATCAATTAAAATGGTATAAACAATAATCCTTTTTGGGCATTTTTTGTCTTGAATTATGCAGTTTCACCCCTCGATACCATTTGAGCCTTTTTGAGGTCCAACGACTCAGCCCAACACACAATTGAAGGCCCCTCACTCTCTGTAAAATCCTATAAAACCTAGGTATACAACTTTCAGTGAAGAATATGCAGAGTTTTGACATGTTTTCCCTTAACTTGTTATAGAATTTTTATTTGATGTGGGGTTACTAGGAACAGGTTGTAGTCGTTTCTCATCGGGTTATTGTAGCATAATCTCACCGCCCTCAGTTTTGTCATTGTCACACCCCAACTCTAGGGACATGACCGACCGTGAAGTATAAATCCATAACCTATGGACATGTAAGCCTAACAATAAACTAATAATATAGGAGTGGAAAATAACATTAACACTAAATTAATCTCATGTCAATATGTCAAAATCAACATACCTAAATCTATTTGCCCCAATTATCTAAACAAGTAAAGATGGTTATACGATATATGCTACGGAAGTCACAACACTATTAATCCCCAATCAATTCCCTAAGTCTGCTATTAACACTCCAATCGTTTGCCTAGAAAAATATTATTTAGAAAACATAAGCTAAAAAGCCCAGTGAATGGAAAGGCATGCATATTCAAAGTGGCTGAAAAACATTTTTGGCATTCGACATGTAAATCAAAGGTTTGGAAAAATAAATTCATCAAGATAACCAATTTCTCAAAAATAACACAATCGGATTTGAACAAGAAATCATATCACAATGGTGAATTATATCATAATGGTGGAGACTGTACGATATCCAATAATCGATGGGAACCAAATACCAAATGCCAGAAGATCTCATGGTTGGATCCAACATCATACTTAAGGTCACCATAGATTGTCGCCCGAGAACTGTTCCCTAAGACGATCCAATGAAGGTCACTAGGATGCACCAAGAAATGTTCCTTCAACCGTTGAGCACTAGGGTTACCTCTGCCTCCCTTGGGTCTGTTCCCTCGTGCCCAGGGTCACCCACACAAAGAGAAATAATTTTCTTGGGCTTTTAGTACCAAATGCTAGAATATATCTCAGGGTTGGATCCAACATCATTATTAGGGTCACCACGATTGCTGCCCGGGAACTATTCCCTAAGACGATCCGATGAAGGTCACCAGGACGCACCAAGAATTGTTCCTTCAACCGTTGAGCACTAGGGTACCTCAGCCCCCCGGGTCTGTTCCCTAGTGGCCAGGGTCACTCGTATACAGAGGAATAATTTTTCTGGACTTTCAATCATGGTCTCATTCACTATCACATAGTCTCGCCATATAAACAAGTGATTGAGTCACAATATTTCACAAAAGAATTCATCAAAGTAATCAAAATCGTATGCCACAAGTAGTTAGACAATTAGTAAAGCATTATTGTAAAGGTAATAAAGAACAAGCATTATGTATTACTTTTAAAATGTTTAGGGATACGGGGAAAATATGTAGTATGCCAAACCACTCACCTCAAGTCCAAAGGAAAACCTTTGTCACCTAATGTTGATTAAGAAGTTGTCGATCCCTTACATTGTTCTTCCATGGTTTAGTTTCTTCTTATATGAAGTATCCAACCTTCCTTCTCTCTATCTCTCTCTCTTTCATGGACTCTTCCGGAGTGCTCTAGGTTCCTCGATGTTCTAGAACCTTGCAGATCTTTTTAGAAACTTCTTCAACATTCTAGATTCTTCTAGATTGGTCTAGACTATTCTAGGTTATTCTTAAACTTTCTAGAATCTTCTAGAACTTTCTAGATACTTCTCCAACATTCTAGATTCTTCTAGATTATTCTAAACTCTTCTTTGAAATTTTTTTTCTTTCTTCCAAGATAATATTCCATAACTAGTTCCTTGACAAAATGGAATGGGGTATTACATTCTTTCGCTCTTAAAATAATTTTGTCATCGAAATTATGCTAGTTATCCCAATCGAATAAGTGTGGTATTCTTGATGCATTTGCCCCTTTGCAAAAAAATGGCCTCAACTGCATGATTCAATTGATTTGCCTTTTGTCCAGAGCTGGTATTGTTGCCGCTCTTAGGTCAAGCCACTATGAACATAGAATGGTTCATTGTAAATCATGTGCAATGAGCTATAAATATTCTTACTTGACATAAACGCATGGAATGTGTTACACCCGCAACAAGTCGAGGTGATAGAGCCTCTCAATAAACTGCCACACCA